CCCCCCCCCCCAAAGCAAAGCTTAAAAACAACGGAGCCACCAAATGAACGAGGGAGGTTGTTTTTGAGTTTTTCGTTTACGTGCGTGCGTGTATATGTATGTCTATTGCAGGAAATGGAAGAAGCATTCAGATTTTGGGGAACACCAAAAGGAGATTTAGTCCATCCGGCTGACTGCATGAACGAATTACTCGAGAAAGTAAGACGACACAGAGTTAACATTGACGGAAACATCTGCAGTGTAATGGTCACGACATTAGTTCTCGAGGTGAGTTGCTGTCCTTATCGTTTTCAGATGTCAGTGAGTGTGTTATTTAGATGGATAATGTTAAGTTGAATGAAACCTTTGCTGATTCTGAATGCTAAAGAACACAGATCCAACACTCTCTAACATATTAGCCAAATAGGATGCAAGAAACTGGCCCGTGAACTGTCGGAAAGCTTTGCATGATCAATGTAGCGTCATCAAATCATAAACTATCAACTTATGCATATGTTAGTATGGATGTGATGATACCGATGATGAGCGATATTAATTGAAGGGTTGGCAAAGGAAGCTGGATCCAGGGTACGACGTAATGCACACCCTGCAATCGATGGTTCTTAAATCCGACTGGGCCAAGTCTCTCTCTTACACTATGGTTGGGCTGATGGCTCCATAGAAGAAGAAGGAGGAGCAGCAGCAGCAGCAGCGCTTGATTTCTCCTCTTTGCATTTTTACTCGGGTGGGGAATTTTGGTCTTGTTTCTAACTATAGATAACTACAATTGTATAAAACTGGCGGCGGACTGGTCCAGACCTCGGTGTGTATCCAACATGTTTACACTTATGGATACCAACAGATGAAGAGAATGTAAAACCAATGTCTTCTTTTGCCTAATTTAATTAGAAACTTTTTTTTTTCTGTTGGTATCTTTTTAAAAGAAAAAATTATAATATAGTTTCAGAATGTAACGATGAGGGGGAAATATGAACAATCTAACGTCCAATGTGTAGCCACGGAGCCTCCTGGTATCTCTGAAGGAGCTTTTGCTTTACTACCTTCAAGATTGAACTCGCCTATTGCTTGAACTTTTTACATGTTATAGATCACATCGCCTGTTCCATTCCGCAGCCATTACAGTTCCTCCACGACACAACTTACAAGACGGCTGACAATGATGATGATGATGATGAGGCAGAACAATCCATGTAAAGATTTGATCCAACCACCTGTGGAGGCGGGTTTTGTTCGATGTTATATATAGTTTGTTGTCTGTTGAGGGGTTCCGAGGACATGGTTGAGATGACCGGAGGTGAACCGAGCTCAAGAAGAGCTTTCCCTTCGGGATAGGTGCCTATGCATAACGTGTCTCCCCGTCCATGCCATATACCGCCATGCACGTTATTCATCTCCAAAGTTCTTGATTCCTGCATCACCGTATGCCGAAGAGAATAAACTGAATATTAGGTTCTGTAACTTTCTCACGTCTTTCGCCCTTGGGATATCCACCAGTTTATCATCTTCTTGTCTCGAGTTGAATTGCTTTGTTCTCCCTTTGTTGTTTATCTAAAACCAAAAACAAGCGAAGGAGAAGAAGAGTTTTACCTGGCTTAATGTACAACATGGACAGATAAGATGGGAAACACAATCCTCCAAGAAACTATCAGCGCCCTGCAAAAAAGGAACAAAATCCAACGAAATCCAGTAAGTTCATGATGCGTAAAGAACAATAATTTTATGCAACAAGGTGAAACATATGATTAAACATAATTGCAAGAAATTCAAAAAGAGAAGTTATCAGCAGAAACCATGGAAAAACCTTCAACATCAATTCAAAGGGTACTAAAATGGGTGGCAAACGAATGGAGTTCATGCCTCTCTATAAACAGGAAAAGGTTTTGGTGAAATGGCAAGACTAGAACCATAACCCGAAACAAACTAAGGAGAGAAACTGCCAATGTCAATTTGTCACAGTATCTTCTATTGTGTCAAGATATACAATGAGCTACACTGCACATGTCCTTTTCAGAGCAAACTTTTGGAAGACAGCAGTAACTTAGCAGCATTCCATATCCAAAATCAAGTCCAATCAGCAAATTAAAATTACTATCCTCTGTTAAAAGAGTGCAGAGATAACCGAGCTTCATACGATCAGACAAGAACATATTGTACCAACAGGAAATGGCTGTACTTGAGAAAAGATCAACACATAAGCTGAAGGACTCACTCTAATGTTAAATTTCCTTCTTATCTGCATCCGGAAGAAACCCAGATAGGATCCGACCAAAAGGATGAAAGCAAGAGCGAAATAGAGATAGTAGTGCCTCTTAGTCACAGCAAAAGCCGCAATGTTGAAAAGTAGACCTACGACAAGAATCATATGAACAGTACCCTGAAGAAATCATCAAGACAAGGAGTCACTATAGGGAATGTAACTCAAGGTTCCATCCAGAACGAGATAAACTGAAGATTCGAAATCGACAATACCTAATCAGAACAGTCTATTGACAGCAGAAGACAATTAGTGAAAGGGTGTCTACAACTACAAGATTAGTACCTGAATAAAGCAAGAACCAAGACTAGCCCTCCTCATGTTTTTGCCGAATCTATAGCATGGACAGCTGCAACAAGTCAAATACTATTACACAAGATGGCTCTTTTAGTTTCAAGAATGAATAAGCCGCAAACAAAATCAAGATACTAATCTCACACACAGATCATCGCGCAATCAATCCTTAATTTGTTCAGATTAAAGTTTTCTCCTTTCTGTTGTGGAGTATTTGACCTAATTTGACCAGAACAATTTCCGGACAAGAATACAAAGTGATCAAACTCAGGTCAACATCTAAAAAAAGAAAACGAAAAATAAATGAAAAGAAAATCTGTAGGAACATGACATCCATCGTGATCGTGAATTTTATTCGCTTTCTGGGAAAGATCTTTCCGAGAAATTAGGAACTCGCCCAAATCAGTATACCTAAAAATTGCGGCTTCAATCCAAAAAATTAACGAAAAAGCCCAAAAAGGGAAACTCACCAAGCGGATTCGACGAACACACGACGATCCTCGAAGCAATCCATGACATCACCTTCCCACATCCTCAACACAACACCGCCATATTCGTTATCCAAATCTCCACCTTCGTCGCTCTCCAGTTTCCTCCATTTTCCCTGCGTCTGAAGCGCCACCGTCGAACATAGCAGGTCAAAATCCAAAACAGATATCCCTTCCGGTTCCATGAACCTCTCCATCTCCTCCTCCGCCGCCGCGCCTCCGTCTCGGCCAGCCACCCCTACTCCGCCGCCTTTTATCATTCCTCCTCCCTTCTCTTGCTTATCCAAATCCGCCATTGAAGAAAAGCACAGAGAGAGAGAGAGAGAGAGAGACAGCAAAGAGAGATGCAATATAGGGTTTCTTCTCCTTCGTTCCTCGATATCCTCTCCGAGAGGATCTGCTTTATGGTGAACGCCCTCTTTTTTTTTTTAATTAGAAATTATAATTTTCCTTTTTTTGGCGGGTGATTAAATATTTATAGTGACAAGGCGAGTAGGAATACAGCAGACAAATCATTATCGACGGTCCAGCTGTTGCCACGTGGATTTTTGGCTGTTGACAGACTGATCAATCATTTACATTATCTACTCAATAATACATAATTAATGTAACCGCATTAGTGATAACGTATCTTCTTAAATAGCAATTTGGTAATAATAAGATTCTTAAAACCCCATTATATGAAATTAAAAGTATGCTAAAATATTTACTACTCCCTTCATCTCAATATAAAAGTCGTTTTAAAGATTATTTTTTTGTTGTAAATAATTATTATTTTAGATTTTTTAGATATTTTTTAATAAAAATTTCTAATTTTATATTTAATTAAAAATATCAAACTTTAATAGAATATCACAAATATACTATAAGACTTTTTTTAAAAAAAATTTAAAAACTATGAAAAAAATCTAAAACGATATTTATATTGAAACTGAAAGAATACATATAAAAAAGTTAAGATTAAGAATTAAGTGATTATGGGTATACAAGCCGTGAGATTTAAGTTGATTGGACTTATTAATGATAAAATATTTAAGTTTTCATGGTAAATAAATCCGGGCACCGCTCCGATTTGAAATTGGATATCCAAAAATTGATTTCAAGTATATAAATATAAAAAAAAACTCGATTTCGAAGTTGAACAACCATACAAATTTCAGTTTTAAATATGTAATTATTACATTATTGATTCCAATATCTTAATAGATTTATGGATAGTGATGAAGTGGATGAGACAGATACGACGATCTTATCTTAAATGTAAAGAACGACCCCACGACCATTTGCTTTTTCATCAAACTTGGAAAAAGAGAGAAGTGATTGTTTATTGAACTTGAAAATGACACAAACCCATATATATATATATATATATATATATATAACGTATTTTGTATGGTACTAAATAATATATATATATTAATGTATTTTTTTGTGCCAAGTATTTGTAGTCCTTTGCCTCGATATGATCGTCGCATCATGTGAAACCTCGTGACCTTCCAACCTCGATAACACAATTTCCATTTTGTCTTTAATGTGTCGTTTTCGCCGGATGTATGTCTAGGGGTGTAAAATGGACGGGTTGGGTCAAGTTTGGACCGGGTTCAATTCGGGTCTAGAATTTTTTGGATCAGGTCGGTCCGTACATTTATTTTTCGGATCTAGGATCGATGGCCCGAAGTTCTGCTCTATAGGGTTTCGGACGGGTTCGGGTCGGGTTTCGGGTTTTTTTATCCAATAAAAATATTTTTTTACGATAATAATAATAATGTAAAATATTAAAAAAAAGCAAACATAGTATAAAAAAAATAATTATACGATGTAATTAATTTGAAACATATAGAAAAAGAATCAATATATTCATATATAAATAAAGTTTTAAAAATATATATATTTAAAAGTTTCTACGTTTTCAAAAATATAAATTGATATATATATATATATATGATGTAATATGATTAAAAAAATAAAAGTTTTCATCACTTTAAAAAGTATTAATTGGATCCAAGATAAAGTTTCGTCATTTGGTTAAAAGATACATATATATATATATATAAATATAGAACATGTGTTTGTTTATGTGCATCGAAGAACAAAATCCAAACTAATAGTATAAAACAAAACCAATATAGAGTGAAAAAAAATATAAAACAAAAAAATTTAATCAAATAGCAAGTGTTAGGTTTGATTTAGTAAAAAAAATAATACAAAAAATAATTATCAAATGATGTAATATAGTAAAAAAGAAGTTAAGATAAGTATAGAGAGGTAGGGGTGGGCGTTTTAACCCGTAACCCGGGGGTTTGGAGGTACCCGGCTTAACAAGTACCCGAATATTAACGATGATGAGATCGAATATTAATAAGATTAAATTTTCGACCCCGAGTCCGAGTGGGGGTTCAATTATTTTACAAAGGGTATCCGGGGGTACCCGGTATATTTGTTAAAAATCTAAAATATACTTTATATCTATAACATTTTTGTCTAAATTATTCTTATTATTTATTAAAATACTTTTATTTTAGTTAATTTTTTTTATGTTCTAAACCTTTTCTATACAAAAATTTCATCATTTCAAATCTCATTCTATGTAACCGAATCAACCATTCATCTTTCTCTCAAAATTTTAGTCATCTCTTTTTTCTCTTTATACTTCGACCTCTCTCATTTGTATTTTCTATATCTATCATTTTATAGTTCAAAATTTTATAAATCGTATGGGTCCGGGTACCCGCAAGGACAAGACCGAGAATCTCATTAAACCCGAGCTACAAGTACCCGGATTTTATGAAGCCAAGACTGAGATAATATTTTTGTAAAACCCGTGATAATGAAGATGAGACAGAATTTTCTAAAAATTGGGAGTATCCGACCCGTGCCCACCCCTATAGAGAGGTAAAAATTTGGCTTAGAAAAAAGGGTTAGAAAAAAATAAATGGGCCTCAAACCCGGTCAGAGACCCGATCGGTCCGAGATCCGACCGGCCCGATCCGACTGATCCGCAACCTATTTAGCCCGAGACTCGAAAGTCCGAAATTTAATGAGCTTATATTTTTAGATCTATATCCTTATTATTTTCGGACAGATTCGGACCGGGTTTCAAGTTCTGGGCTTAATTGTCTTGTCCTGCAACCAGATTTCTTGTCGTTGTTGTTTTTTTATATTAGTCATTATATGATGTATCTGAATATATTAAAAAAAAAAAGAATCGAATGATCGGTTTTTAACCGCTCTCTAATTTGTTACGTTGATAAAAAGATTTTCGTGAAAAAACTTTAAAAACATTTCGGAACATCTGAATTAAAGATAACAATTTGTTGTATTCTATTTTTTTGTACTTTTTAAGATGTGATTTTTGGCTTTAAAACTCTGTTAAATTATTTAATCCTTCGAATTAATAGATAATATATATGCATATAACTATTTATAAAACTATTATGAATTTTCTAAAAAAATAATGGGAGGAAAACGCCAAAGGAAGAAAAAAAAAATGTTCCCTTTCTCAGTTCCTCCACCGCCAAAGTTTGGTTCTTTGACCAAAAAATCGTCCTTTCTCGTCGTCGCTTTCAGACACTGATCTTTGTCACCGTACAATGAATTCGCCGGGATTATCTCCGAAATCGGACCGAAAATCTCCGACGGTCCTCACCGTTCAACCTTCGTCCCCGAGATTCACGCCGGTCAGCACTCCAACGGCCGGAGCCCAGCGCAAGATTGGGATCGCCGTTGATCTGAGCGACGAGAGTGCCTATGCCGTCCGATGGGCCGTACAGAACTACCTCCGGTCCGGAGACGCCGTCGTACTGCTCCACGTACGGCCGACAAGCGTCCTGTACGGCGCCGATTGGGGCGCGATCGACCTGTCGCCGCAGTGGGACCCGGAGAACGAGGAGTCGCAGAGGAAGGTCGAGGACGATTTCGATGTCTTCACGAACGCGAAAGCGAACGATATGGCTGGGCCGTTGGTCGAGGCGGAGATTCCGTTTAAGATCCATATCGTGAAAGATCACGACATGAAGGAGAGGCTGTGTCTGGAGGTGGAGAGGCTAGGGTTGAGTACTCTCATAATGGGGAGCAGAGGTTTTGGGGCTGTGGCGAAGAGGAGTGGCAAAGGGAGGCTGGGGAGTGTAAGCGATTACTGTGTTCATCACTGTGTTTGTCCCGTTGTGGTTGTGAGATTCTCCTATGACAATGGCGGAGGAGAAGATGAGAAACGTGGTGGAAATGGCGCCAAATTCCCTTCCGACAGCGTTAAGCTTCATACGGTGGCTGAGGCCGAGGGAGAGGGAGAAGATAAGGAGTACCACCATGATGCTTCTGATAAGCAGCAACAAGGGTAGCTTCCGATTCAGGTCGAATCCCATTTCTCTGGCCTTTTTTTTCCATCATTAGATTACTTTTCTTGGTTTGAATCCACAAGTTGCTTCATAGAAGAATGTATAGAAGAAGGGTGTCCATTGCTGATATACGTCTTCCTATATCCAATCCTGAGTTGAGCTTTCTTCAGACCATCCACTGATGCAGAATCTTCATCAATCACTTTGGTTTCTGTCTCAGTAGGCGATTTTCTTGTTACTTGTCTCTGAAATGGTTCTGCTTGCATCTTCGAAAATCATTAGTTGGGTTCAATTGGTATGGATGTGTTTCTCTGGAGGGGATATCTGTTGTCAAAGATGTCAAGTTCTTTGAACTTAATCAATTAGGCTATCCAAGAATCGCATCATCCGATCACGTTTCTGTGCCATGTTATATTTGGCTTGTCCGCTACTTGTAGTGAAAGAGGATAGAACACGATCATTGAAATGTCTTTTCTGTGTAGAAGAGATGAATTTTTAACCGGGTTTTCCGTGAAACGCAACAGGGAA